CACGTGCGGGCGGCAGCGGCGCTGGGGGAGGCGCGTGGAGGGGGCCCCACGCGCGGGCACCGCGTGGGACAAGCGGCCGGGGCCCAGAGGTGGCGGATTAGTGCCCGCTGCCATGGTCCTGCTCCTGCCTCGCAGGGCCCCTCGTTCATCTCTCTTCCTCTGTGGGGATTATTTTATTTTATTTTATTTTATTTTATTTTATTTTATTTTATTTTATTTTATTTTATTTTATTTTATTTTATTTTATTTTATTTTTTTTTTTTTTTTATGGATAGTGGTAACCTGTCCTGCTGGAAGCAAATGCATCGCCGCTTAACTAACTACCATTTATTCTTATCTCTAGATAAGAGGGAGTGTGTTGTGCAGAGGGGAGTTTATCCCCTTTTGTGCCGGAGACTGCACATTTAGAGGGAATACTTAAGTGGTGCTAATCATGTAATAATGACCTAGTCATCCTGCTAATCATCTAATGCTAATTTAGGAGCTCTTTTCTGGACCAGCCTCCAGCACAGCCTTGAAACAGAGGCTGGGAAATTGGGTAATATCTTACATTGCTGACACCTGGAATGGGGACAGTAATGGCAAAGTAGGAATCTTGCCACAAATCGTCAGTGAGGAAAAGGAAGTTCTCCGTATTTTGTTCCTCACAGGGCTGCAATTCCAGGTAAAGCACCTTCTGGGATCGCTCTCAGGCCCTTTCTGCTATGGACTGACCCTGTGGCTCTACTGCAAGACCATGGCACTGCCTGCCCCTTTGGCCTTGGACACAGCTCTTCCAGGAACAAGTAAAGGATTGGTGTGGGAAGGGGTCCCGTGGAGGGATCAGTGCTGACATGTGAGAGCTCTCCATACATCTCCTCACTGCACGCATGGTAAGAGATGGTGTTGGGAGGTGAGGAAGCACCTGTGAGTCCTTTCATAAGGAGCTATCGGAGTGGCCTGTTCATTGCTATTTTAGGAAGCATTGCTATTTTCCCTTTTCGGGAAAAAGGCCATCATTTTTCTTTTCCTCCAAAGTTGCTTCCCTGGGATGTCAAAGGGATTCTGTGCTGCTTCCCTGACTCTGGATCTTGATGATGTTCACTGCATGATCTGGCTCCAGTGGAGAAATCCTGTCTGGTGCTTTACCGGAGGCTTTTACAAGGGAGCTAACTAGTAGATTCCTTACCAGACCTTATCTCTATTTCCACATACATTATCCTGGTAATAGATCTTGTAAATTGTCATAAATGGTACCCAGAGTGACTAGGGAGTTAAGTTGTGTCTGGCCATGCCTTTCTATGTGCAAGTGCTGGGGAAAAAAATATATGACTGCACCTTCCATGCTGGGACCCAGTAAGAATTGGTGTCTGAGACCATCTCAGATTTATTATTATTATTATTATTATTATTATTATTATTATTATTATTATTATCTGCAGGCTGGCATCAGCCCTAAATTTCTCATGGAAATGTTAAATTTCTGGATGCTGGAAATATTATAAAGGCAATACATATGCTTTTGCGCATCAACCCCAATGTATTGGGGATTGTACTTTGGAGCCGTGTCAGTAGTTAATAATCTTTATTAACTTGTGGACTCCTGAAAGATTTTCCAGTGATGAGTCCCTCAGTACAGGAATTTAAAACTGTGAGCTGCCAGATTGCTTTTTTAAATAACAAGATACTTGGGAAGTATTATTCTTGTCCATAGTACTCTTGTCACCAGAAATCCAAAGGCAGCAGGTTGATGTAGGCTACTGCAATTAAAAAAAAAAAAAAGAGAGAAGTGGGAGGCATGGCACTGCAGGAGGAGGAGCCACAAGGTGGCAATCTCTCTCTGCGGTTGCACTGGCAAAATGAACCTGTGGCAAGAAATAAAATAAAATAAAATAAAATAAAATAATCTGATGGTAACTGAAGCTGTAGACCCAGCTGGTCACATCTTGTTTTCTAGGGGTTCACTGCAACATTCACTTCAGCACTAGGTTTTCTCTTCCGAGCATTTCTCCCCTCAGGGTGAAATTTTCATGCTTGAAGAGGTGACATTGAAGGCTGATTTTTGCTGGCTTTTCCATGGCTTTGTCCCAAAATGGGCACCAGATGTACCTCATTAAATTGCTAGCTACAAACGCTGTTTTCATGTGTGCTGACAGAGCTACTGTGTGCAGTGCAAAGGAGGTTTCCTTCTTCACTGGAAGCACCAAATCTCTGTGGCAGCTGGTTCAGAGTATCTCTTCCTTTCTTAATGTTATATTAATGTACAATACGATGGGATCCAGCCTCGTACAGTGAGGTGATTAGGCAGGAGCAGACAAACCTCGGTGTTAGAACTGGGTTGCAGCCACTAGGTTGCATGTGGCATATGGTCTAGAACAGCTTGAGAGATGAGAGGGCTGCAAAGCCCTGGTGACAATAGCTGCACTCAGGGAAGAAAAAAAAAGGAGAGGGGAAAAAATGTAGCTTGAGTTAGTGAGATGCAGAAGAGAAATAATGCTCATTTTGGGGTGAAGCTGTCTTAGTCCTGCTGCATCAAGCACCATCTGCTGCTATGAGCTCTGTCTACGTCGGGACCCAGATGCGCTCTTGCCAAGTGTTAGCTTACATGTGCTACGTGTGAAAGTCAACTGGTGCGAAAGCTGAGGCCTGATTTGCTTTCAGGAGGATTTGCCCTGCACAAGTGACGACGTGCGAGCGAGCCCCTTGCTGAGGGGATGCACTCCAGAAGTTGCAGGTGTGTCGCTGGAGCATGTGCAATGATTCAAGATGGAAAAGTCTTCCAAAGCTCCAAATGAGACAGAATAAACTGTGCTTTAACACATGCTCAATTGACTCTTTGGCAAAGTATGACATGAATCTGTATGGCTCTCTCTGAGGCCTGTCCCAGCTGTATCCTGCCTGCTGCATCCTTGAGCAAGCAGTGAACTGCTGTCCTTGTTTTCTCCTTGTGCTGTCGTCTCCTTCTCTTACCTGTTCTCCACTTATGACATCGCTCTTCTGGTAGGAGTTATGTAAGTCCTCTATGAAAGGGGCAACCAGGAGGAGAAATGTTAACTATTCCAAATCATAGTGGGAAAAGAAGCAAAGAAAATCTGGATTTTCCTTGGCAGAAAGTGAAGAGAAAGCTAGCAAGAACGGGACAGGTTTCTCAGAGAACATGCGTGCAAAAGAGACTGTCACTAATGCTCTGTAGCCAGTTGAGAGCAGAAACTTTCCACGAGTAAGAGAAATAATCACTGAAATGTGGGATATATGATAACTTCTGGAACAGAAGGAATAAGACCCCAGGCAAGGGAGCTCTGAACATTGTGCTGTACCTTTTATTTCCATTTGTGGATCTGTGGTGTTTGCTTTATCCCTGACTCAGTTACTGTATGTTTGCCAAACTTCACCCAGCCCTCTGGTGATGACTTATTAAGCACTTAGTTTGTGATAACTGGTTTTCTCCTGAAATGATACCACAAGCCTGCTGTTTTGATTTAAGCTGATTTCCAAGTATTTTTGTTAATGGTCAATGACAATCCACTCCAAGAGAATCTAACTTGAGGAAACCATGAAATTTAATTCATTTCTGCAACTTAAATATCTAATCAGTGACACATGGTAGTATTAAATACAGGGGGAAAAGTAATTGTTTAAATCAAATTTCTGCATTCAGTCAAAACCCAATAGTTGTAACATCAAACCGTAGTTTCCATTGTACGGGAAACAAGGCATCACTTTGTCAAAGAAAATAGAGAGGCAATTGCATGCTTGTTATATTGGCAATACAGTTTTATTTTTAGCCTTCTCCATGCTGCTGTTACCAAAGGACTCACAGAAAGCAAGCTGTGGAGGGAGAAGAGAGAATAGAGCACCCAGATCCTGGCAGAAAGGACAAAGGAAATGTCATAGATTCATTGGGAATATATGCCCTCCCCTCGGCACTTGCTTCTGGCTGATAAGCTCCTGGACCTGGCCTGGGCACCATGTCCCTCTCCACCAGCTGGGCTGCAATGGGCTCTGCAACTCCAAGGGCTGGGGAAACGCTTCTCCTGCGTTTCCTTGTCATCACCCAGCACTTCCCTCCTGCCCCCTTGCTTATCGGCATGAGAAGGATTTATTCATTTGCTCAAGAGAGGGATGAGTTTGATATTAGATTAGTAGTGGGCTGCAGGCGAACTGTGCCTTTGGAGAGCTGGGAAATGCAAAGGGATTCTCCAGGCCATGTGCTTTCTGCCTTTGATGTGAAGCTCCCAGATCCTCATCTCCCCATCACTGCCTTAAAGGAGAGCCGATCTGCAGCTTAATTGTTGTTACTGAAATTTCTTGCAGGAAGGTGTTTGCTTTTCTGTATTTGTTTTAAAACTTTCACTGGGAAAATGGAGGGAGGGGGTTGGTTTCAGGTCTATCCAGCTGCAGGCCAGCTTCTCCTTCCTGTGTTAGCACATCCCCGCGCCTGCTGGCATTTCCCCCTCGTTCTCTGTGCTCTTTTTTGCTCTTTCAATTCTTCTCATCCCCAAGGCTCATCCTGGGCATTCTCTGCTTTTACACAGCTGACATTTCACTTTTTCTCCTTCATCTGCTTGTTTGGTTTCCAGTCATGGCCCAAATTTTCCATAGTTCATCGTCTTGTTCTCTAACCACGATCTTCATGTTTTGCTTCTGATTTCTCTTCCCAGGGAAGCTCTGACAGCTGGTTCCTCTGGCGTCTGTTCAGAGCAGGGCAGCGGTGACCGAGGTGTTTAACAGTCTCGTAATTACCGGGAAGATTTTGATTTTTTCCCCCTGCTTCCCTCACCCTGGCAGCTTCTTGGAGTGCTCCTTTGGCTGCCGTTTCTTCCGCTGAGCTCCCTCTCCTCCTTGGTGTCTGCACATAGCACCTTCCTCCCTTTCCTAATTGACTCGTTTGCTCCTCTGGCCCTGCACTTCATCCATCTTCCTATTTCCCCTCTCTGATCTGCTCCTCATGTCCGCTTCCTCCGGGTTTGCTGCTGGAATGTGAAGCATCTCTGCAGAAATATAGAAGGTCTTTGTGAAGTTTTACCACCCCCTGTATTCCCTCTTCCTTCACCTCTATCATCTCTTCCATCTCTTCCCAGATGGTGGGACGGATACTTGCTTGCGGGCAGCCTCGGGCTTGTAAAATGGGAGGGTTTTTTTTAAACCCGTGATGATGTAAAAGGAGGCTAATGCTACACTTCTCATTCTTCAGGGCTACTCTGCTTTGGAGAAAACGTTCGTGAGGGTATTGCGAGCATTGCAGAGCTGCGGGTCTCACTGTTCCCTAAATCTGACTGTGTCAAGAAGCTGCCTTATTTACTTCTACCCAAGATGCAGAAAACAAAAGCTGTATCATGAGGCCACTCATGAGTGCAGGGACATTCAAGGGTCTAAAGAGCATTCGCGGCCAAAGGGTTTTTTTGCACACATATATATTCTCAGCCATATCCAAACCCCGTCTGCTATAGAGGTGTTGGGCTCTATAGAGCTCTAGAGAGGTTTGCTCTCTGCTTCAGGTATCACGATGGTTCTATCAGCCCCCAGAGCAGCTGCCATAGCTCTGTGGAAATCGTGTGCCTCGGTTTCCAAGAGCCTCAAAGCACCTGCTGGGGGACGGGCACTTCGGGAGCTTCCTGGTCCTCTCCTGGAGCAGACACAGGGAGCTCGGGTCTTCTCGGACGCGTTGAGCCCACGCAGCTTAAAACAGCCCGCGGAAAAGAGACGCGCAGATTATTGTAGCAGGGCGCGCAGTGACTACAGGCTCGCAGAATTAAGTTAACCAGAAGAAAAACGACCGTTTCCCAGCAGCTGCCTAAAATTCCGCTCCGCAGCCGCGGCGGGGCCGGCGCAGCCTCCCGGCCCTCGGCCCGCCCGGGAGAGAGCCCTTTGCGTGCACTTTGTGCTGAGAAAAATGCAAGGACAGCACTGCCGAGCGCGCATTTCCTGAGCAGGCACTTGAATTGGGTCGATGTCTTGCTTTTTTTTTTTTTTTTTAATATACATTAAGGTATTTGTTTAGTTTGCATGGATGAGAGGAAGAAGCGCTTCCTCCCCGGGCTCGCTGTCCTGTCCCCGGGCTCCCTCATCAGCCGATCTCGCTCGCCCAGGCAACTGTTTTTGCTTGTTGCAGAACTTCACAGGTCACCTATGCTAAAGGGCGAGACACAGATGCCGTGTTAAATCAAGCGGTTGTCTTCTGCCTGTTCACTCAGATGACAAGTGATAGATAATCACGCCAGAAAACGGCTTTAAACGCGGAGTTCAGATCGTTCAGCTCCAACCTTTATGCGTTGGTAATTTTAGGAGGTCCTTTGCAAACATTAAGGCTCTTGCGGTGAAAATGATGGACGCTGCAGTGCAGAAAGAGTAAAAAGCTCCATAAAAAGAGTCTGCCGTGCAATTACATGCTCTAACGACCACATTTTTACCACGTTCACTGCACTGGACTTGCTCTGCTCCGAAATTGTTTGGAGAGAACAAGTAACTCAGGCCATGGTACAGGGCAGTCGTTTAAGAGCCTGAGAAGAAAATGTTTTCTGTTAAAGTATCTATACGTAATGTCTTTTATTTCTCTTGCTAATTTTCTCCTTGCTGGCTTCTTTTAGAGCATCCATAACTCAGGTTTACTTGACAGCACTGCAGAAACAGACATGGTTGATATCTCGGGAATCACAGACATTTTTTTTAAAAGGCTGTCTAACTTGTTTTATCCTTCCTGGCCTAATGGAGGTTTGTTTGGTACAGCACATCCTCTATTGATAATAACTCTCATCATCTAGGAGCAGAAGTTTATTTTCTAGCGAATTAAAAATGTTCCCCCTGAGAAGGTTTTCCCCATTTTCTTTTGGACCGATTTCCACAGCCTGAGAGTTCAGTTTAATTTTCCTCTGCCTTTTTGCTACGTGCCTAGGACATCCAAAGGGCTCCCCTCTACTGAATCCTTTCAAAGACTGCTCAGATCATTTACAAACAGCACTTTCACGAGCAGTAGCTTTACAAAAGTGAGGAAAAAATCAAAGTAACTACCTATGATACGAAAGCTAAATGCAGGTTTAAGTGTTTGCTGAGCTGTAACTGACTGAAAGAGTGCCAGACATTTTGCAAATATACACAAAAAGACAGGCCCTTGCTCTAATCGGCTTATAAATTAAAAGTACATTGGCAAGAGCAGAAGAGAAGAAGATATGACATGCTTTAAATAGTTTATAGGGAGCTGGAGGATTGTTGTTTATTTGGTGATGTTGGGAAAATATTTAATGTGCTTTGGTTAAACTCTTTATAGAAATGCTGCTCCTCCCCCACCCGTCTTCCCCAATGACTTCTTGGGAGATTAAAACCAGCGAGTCTAGAGAAGAGGGAAAATGGAGAAATGTGTTTCCAAATTAACTAAATGAGTAGGTTTTTTTTTTTTTTTTTTTTTTTTTTTTTTTTTTTTTTTTTTTTTTTTTTTTTTAATGCGAGTCAGTCTTCCTAAAGGAACCTTCGTAATGGAAGAGAGGAGCAGCAGCAGCAGCCGGGATGAGAGCTGGTGTGAGGAGCGGTCCTGCCGAGCCGCTGCTCCCTCGCGCCGGAGCCGCGCGGCTGCGACGGGGCGGCGGCGACGGGGCGGCCGCGAGGTCCCTTTGCAGGTGGCCGGTTCCGGCGCCCTGCTCGAGGGCTCCCACATTTACGGGGCTCCTGTGCTGAAACTACGCTTCGCTTAAAAAAAAAAATGCAGCTTCTTTTTTAGATTCAGCTTTTCTTATGATGGAGAACAGCCGCTTTCTGCGGAAAAAAGCACCGGGTCGGGGCAGGCAGTGGGACGCAGGCTCCAGGTGTGGGGCTGCAGAGCCGGGGCAGGTAAGTGAAGGTTTTCGTTAGCGCCGCCTTCCCAGAAGCCGCAAGCTGACCCTGGCAGCTGGAAAACGTTTTGCTCCTTTCCTTGTTTTCTGTTGTTGGTGATAGCTCCGCAGATAACTAACTTCACGGCATCCGGAGTTTGCATTCAAAGCAGAGACTAATTGTGAGAACATTGCAGGATAAACACACTTCTCCTACAAGCTGGTTTATTTGCAAGGACAAATATACATAAAGGAAATTACACAACAATTTGTTTTCTTTCTGGTCCTTACCACATGATGTATTAAAGCTGCGTTTTAAAATACAGCCCTACTTAACAGAATGAGGCGTCACACGAGTTTCGGCCTGCAGCCACAACACTTATATGAGTTCTGAACTCCCTCAACGCTTGCTGACATTGTTTGGTAATAAGGGAAAAAATGCAAAGGGGGAAAAATAAAACAATAAATAAAAATAGGATTATTCAGGAACTCTTGTTGCTCTTTCAGAGATGACCCCAAACCAGAGCAGTCAACTCACGTCTGAAGCGGAGGCTTCAGTTCCTGGGTCACTTAAATGCTCTTGCGGACTGTGCCTAGAATGTTTGCAGCAGAACACAAATTTCCAGGCTTAAATTGCCTTCTTCCTGTCCTGGGATGCCAGGGTTTGCACAGCTAAAATTGCATAGCCCTTTCTCCCGGATCCTCTTACTTGTATAACGCTCAAATCCGCGTTGCTTTGTGCCTGTCGCCGAGGTTTGCTGCTTTTTGTCAGCGTGCCCCGCACTCAGCAGCCTGCTCCGAGGTGCATTTCCAGCCTCACTCTCCTACGCGTTAGGCGGATTGTTTCAGGACAAATCCTATTTCGTGCGTTTCCTGCTAACTCCTAGCAGAGCCAGAGGTATCTTTCATCCTTTTCCCTGGTTATTATTCATTGCACAATGATTTCCTGATCCCCCAACTCCTGCCTAGGTAACCCGGCACTGGGACCGAGGCATGGGCGGCTACATCCCAGAGGAGCCGGCTTGGAAGCGCTGCCTGGAGAGGTTTTTGTTTTTGTTTTTTTCCCCCAGGGGAGCTGTGGCGACTCCGCGCAGTGCCCTGGACCCGGGTCTCTACCGGGCCCCTTGTGCGGGGCTCGTCGGGGGAACCACGGCCGGTGCACCGAGCTCCGCCGTCGCGGTGGGCAGCAGTGAGGCCCGCTCTCCCGCCTCCCGAGGCCTGGCCCGAGCGGTAAAACCGGAGAGCACGGCCCGGGACTGGGGCGGCGGCACCGCCGCGTTACAGGTGGCTTGTCAGGGCAGGGGCGGCCGCGGCTCGTCCGGGCACCGTCGGAGAGCCCGCCGTCAAGCCAGGACAGCGGGGCCCTCCTCGGCCCGTTGCTCTGTGTGGCCCCAGGACCCGACCGTGCGAAGGGGCGGCCGCAGGTGGGTGCCGGCTCCGCCGGGCCCGGGCCAGCGACCAGCAGATGGTGCTGCGGGCTCCCCTGCGGGCGCCCCGTCCGGGCCGCGGGCCCCGAGCCGCCGGGCGCTCCGCTCTGCACCGCTCCGGCCCAGTGCCGCCTGTCTGGACGCAGGGGGACGAGGCGAGCGGGTGGCAGCGGCGCGAAGGGCTGCGCGCTCCCGGGTAGGCGAGGCAGGCGCGCCGCTGCCTTCGGCTCCCCGCCACATCGGGCCAGCCGGACCAGCAGCTCCGGGCCTCGGGCCCCCGGAGCGCGGAGAGCGCTCGACCCCGGGCGTCTTGCCCCGCTGCCGCGGGGGAGGCTGCCCGTTCCGCTCCGGTACCGGCCAGCACGTTCCGTGGGTCCCGCTCGCCTCTGCCAAGCCCACATCTGCGCGGCAGGACGTTTGGGCCCCCCGCCCGCGGTTTTTTTTTTTTTTTTTTTTTTGGGGGGGGGGGAGGGATGTCATTAAACCTCCTCCCGGACCCGGAGCAGCATCACCGTCGCTGCCTTACCGCCTGGGCCGTCTTCGGTGCCGCAGATGAGCAGGCGCCGCGGTGCCGCTGCAGGCGATGAAGCTGGGAGCTGCGCATCGGCCCCGGTTCCCGGCGTGGAGTATTCCCGGTTCCCGCTTCCCCTCCGCGGAACTGGACACCCGTCGGCATTGGAACAAGAGCAAAGCGAAAGCTCGGGGCTGGCAGAGGAGCAGATGGGCCGGCGGGTCCCGAGACGAGGGGGTTAAACCAGGAGCCTCCCCTTACCTTCAAAAAGTTAAAAATGTCTGGAGCCTGCATCTCTTAAAGGGGCGGTGCTGGCTGCAAGGAGTCTTGGCACCGGCAGCGAGAAAGGCTGGTCAGGGGCGTGAGTTCCCCTCCACCAGCACCAAAACATTGCAAAAAAAGGCAGAGCGCCCCACACTTTAGATAAGGACAATTAGCCACCAGCGAGCCCCTGCAGACAGCGAGTTAATTAGGGGTTTCCTGCTCTCCGGCATGCCCTGTCCCAGCTCCTGCCCCCCCGGGCTCTTAGCTCTGATGGCACCTGGGCTGGCGCTCATGGCCACCTTCTCGCTGTCCTCCCAGGCCGGGGACAGGAGAGCGCTGCCGGTGGAGAAACCTCCAGGTGTGAAGGGAAGAACTCTCATTCTCCTTGATGTCAACACCAAGAGCCCTGTCAGGATAATCAGTGAGAATTTCCTCTCCCTGCAGCTGGACCCCTCCATCATTCATGATGGCTGGCTCGATTTCTTAAGGTAAGGCAGGAGCCCCCCGGCGCCTCCCCACGCCTCCCGCGGGGCGCCCACGCAGACCCGGCCCGGCTCCACGCTGCTGGCGGCGCTTGTTGTGGTGGGGGGAGCAAGGCCATGGTTTCCATTAAGATGCACATGTTTGCAATGGAGAAAGCATTTCAGAGACTTATCAGTAACGACTGCAAAAATGTCGTGCTCCCCTCGCTCCAAGAACTGCTTCTCTGCGAGGAAAAAAAAAAAAAAGTACAACATGGGGCCGAGGCAGCACAGGGAAAACCCCAGCAGCGGGAGCAGGGCCTCCTGCCGAGGCGGCCCCAGGTCCTGCCGGGCGGGGAGCGGGTGCCGGCCAGGTCTGCAGGGCTCCCCGGACTGCGGCCCCGGCGGGGGGCTGCTCTGGGCTCCGCCGGGGCGCCGAGCTGCGCGGCCGGGAGGCGCGGGACGGCCCGAACCGTCTCCCTGCTGGGTAAAGTCGGGAGGGAGAGCAGCGGGTCCGCATCTCCGCTCCGAGGGTTCCTCCGGCTGCCCCCTCCGGCTCAAGGGGGACGAGCGGGGCGAGGAAGGGGGAAGGCGCGGGCGGCTCCGCGCCCGGCCAGCTCGCTGCTCCCCTCCCTCCGCTCCGCTCCCGGCCCGCGGAAGGTGCTGCCCGGCGCGGCCGAGCTGCGCGGCGGCGGAGCGCCCCTGCCTCCCGCGCCGCTGCACTTGTCCGGGTGGTGCCGGCTCCCGCCTGCCCCGGGAGCCCCGCCAGCGAGCGCCACGACTCGCCGCTGCGCTCCGGGCCGCGGTGCCGGTGCCCGCCCGCCGGCCGCGCCGCGCCAGGTGGGGCCGCGGCGGGGGGAGCCCGGCTGGGCCCCGCGCTGCGCCCTCCCCGCCGCGGGCGCCCCCTGAGCCGCGCTCCCCGCTCCCCGCAGCTCCCGGCGCCTGGTGACCCTGGCGCGGGGCCTGGCTCCCGCCTTCCTGCGCTTCGCGGGCAAGAGGACCGACTTTCTGCAGTTCCACAACGTGAAGAATCCGGCCAAGACCCGCGGCGGGCCCGGCCCCGACTACTACCTCAAGAACTACGAGGACGGTGAGCGCCGCGGTCCCCGTGGGCTCCGACCCGCTCCCCGCGCCGCGCGCTCGGGACGGGCGCCGCGGAGCTTCCGCGCTTCCCTCTCGGGCCGCTCCCCGCTCTCGGCGCCGCTTCCGCACAAGGTGGCCCAGGGGTGCCCAAGTCCCGGGAAAGTGGGGCTGCTCCCGCGCCTCCTGCGCTGCCCGCAGAGACCTTCCCGCGCTCCCGCCGGGGACCGCGCTCCGCAGCCCGGGGAGCGCCCGGCCGCCTTGGCGGGGACCCCCCCGTCCCTCCCCGGTGCCCCCCGGGGCTGGCGGCAGCTCCGCGTCCCCCTCCGCCACAGCCCCCGCTTGCGCCCGGGCTCCTGGCTGCGCTCCGCGCCACTCCGCAGCCCGCGCTGCTCCCGAAAACCGCTTCGCTGCCGCTCCCCTGCGCCCCAGCCCTTCTGCAGCCGCACAAAAGGCTCCTCATCTTCTGTGGCCCTTAATCCACACAAAGAAACTTCGTTTTAAAAAGAAAAAAAGTTTTAAAAAACTCAGGCCAAATCTCTGTCCCCAGGCATTTATTTTAGAAAGTGGAATACAAAGCATGAGTGCAGAAAATGAATAATTTTCTATCTTGCCTTTTTAAAAAAGTCTTTTTCTTAGAGTTTTAAAAAAATGGAGATAGTTCCATAAGTAATTTTGAAAGTCAATTAATGCCAAGCAGATCCCAGAGAGACAGGTCTGAGGAAAAGGGGAAATTTTGCACAGATCTAGTCAATAGCACAATCCCGATCGGAAAAAGCAGATGCATTTGCCAGTTTTCTGGTGGCTCACTCCTGCTCTTCCCCCACATAATATCTGATCTCACCGAGATGTGTGTCCCGTATTCCCAAATGCAGGCAGGTGGGTAAGTTTTTGCACTCCTTCTTTTGCTGGGTCTCCTTGCTGAAATGATCTTGATGTTACTACTTATTTTTCTTCTTGTAACAAGTCTCGGGCAAGGAGCTTGTTTTAAGTTCTGCCTACTGAGAGGAGCTTCAGGCGAAAATGCCGACCAAACCTGTGGAAGCCGACCTAGAACAGAAGAAAAAAAAAACATAGTGCATGAGATTGTACATGGGATTCATAAAAACCATTTGTGGGAATCAATTTTCCTTCTTCAGCCCAAAGGTCAATATTTCAACAGCTTGCAGGAGAAAACTTACACTTACTAAATGTCTTCACGACAGTTTTCTTGTTAGAGATGGAGTGATTTTTTTTCCCCCCCTTTCTTTTCCTCTTTCTTTTCCCCAGTTTTCCTCATGGCAATAAAGTTGAAATGTAGCAGCCCTTCAAAATGAAGCTTCTCATAGAAGTTGTAACCACAGGTCTTAACTTTTCATCACTTAAATGTGGAACAGAACCATTGCGAATGTGGGTGAGTGCGGGAGGGGACACATGTGGTGTGTATCAAGCATCGGTGTAAATCAGAAAGGTGTGGTAAAAGGGATTTCCTGCCTGGGAGCAAAGCTTTCTTATTTGTTCCTAAGATCTGTGTGCAAACGCCATGGCCAGAATTGCTGGTAGCTCTCACCTTCTTGTGTAGAGGCTGTAGCGAGGGCTTCGCTGGGGGAATCCAGTTCCCCCAAATGAAATCCTGATGCCACCGCCACCCTCTGCTCTGCTGTTGTGGAGCTTAGCAGCCATGTTCTCCTTTCAGAGCCCAGGTCTGGTTTTTACTCCCTCATCCGCGGGTTGCCCGGGGGCACTTGGGATCTGGGCAAGAGCAAATGTGCAACCAGCTGCCCTTGCACTGGGGAATGTGTGTTCTGAACAGAGAGCACGGTTAAAAAGCAAAGATGGAAATTAATGTCCAAAGGCACGTGGAAGGCCAGCAAGCATCATTCTAGCTACCACCCTCCCCTACAGCTTATCCTGGGTGTCTCAGTAAATCTCAGTAAATGGGAGTGGGAAAAAAGTCAGGAGAGCTTGATTAGATAAAAATGAAAAAAAAAAAAAAAAAAGAAAAGAAAATAATTGAAGAGAAACCTTTGAATGTTGAGATCTGTACCATCCTCTCTGTGTTTTTAGTGATGTGACTAGTGCTAGCTCAGCATTTCTCTCATTTAAGTTTTACCTTTTTGCACACGGGTGCTGTGGGTGCACGTGGACTCCAGGCTCTTAAGCTGGGTGCCTCTTTTTGCTCTGCAGACCCCAGTAGTGTTTGTGTGCCTCGTGTTCAGGACTAAGAGGGAGAGATGAGGATGCAACTCCTTAGATAACCATAGTTATTAGTGACTTCTCTGAGTGCTTTTCCCAGGCAACTGTACTCACAGACAGCCCCCAGGTGCTCCTGCAAGGCATTCAGACAGCCAGCAGCATGGAAACTGCTTTGCTGCTGCCTTCATGGATGTTGTGTGGTGTGGTCATTCTTGTTGAATGTGATCCTTCTTCTTGAATGAATCTCTGCACAAGGACCTTTCTGCTACAATCCCCCTCTGATGGTCTTTTGTACCCTCTAATACTGCTCTGTCCGGATGATCCGACCTCTTCAGAGCTTTTCCTTACTCTTCCATTTCCATCCATTTAAAATACATCTATTTCCTCTCTAGAAAGCCACGCATTATGCCCACATAGCCTAGGCTGGCTTTGACTAGATCTGCACCTTTGGGTTCGCTGGCCCATCTTCATCATCATTCTCCCCTGCATTCCCTCTTTTCAGTTCTTTCTGTATATCTCTCAATGTGAAGTGAACCTGATAATTTTAAAATAGTAGGCACTCCTCAAATGCACACAGTTAGATACCAAGGTGTGTTGCTTAAGTTCATAGGCTTTGTGCTTTCTGCCTTCTTTGGTGGCTATAGGGTGACTGTACTGCCCCAGGGAGCCCCATATCCTGGGTAGATTCAGCTTTGTCATCTCTGTAAGCCTTGAGCTTGCAAGAAAAAGACACTTATCTTAAATGATGTCTTCTTAGGGTGTCCCAGCAGCTTCCCTTGGATGTGAAGGTGACGAGCCAGTGCATGGCAGGGATCTGTCTCACCAAGTCTGTGGTGTTCAGGACTTGGACTCTGCTGAACAGGCCTGACCTTTCACAGGGCACTCAGTGCTGGAGTTTTGCCATGGTGTCCCACAGTCCCGGGTCTCATCTCTTGTCATTCAGGCACTTGAGCAGGGTGTGACATGAGGGGGTCAGCTCTGTAACTGATACAAGTTTCACAGTGGCAACTTAGTCCTTCAATAGTATATTTTACTGATAGAAGCTTTTTTGTTGTATTTTTTTTTTTCTTGGAGAGCTTGTGCTTTTGACTTCTAAATCTGAAATAAAGTGATTCCTTTAGCTTTAGGGTCATTCTTTACTTGTACAAACTTTTCCTAGAAGCACTGATTGCATAATACCAGATGTGTCCTTCCTTCACAGTGCTCAACAGCCTCACAGCAGCCCAGAGCAGTTTTCTCTGGGCAGCTAAGGTAATGTGGGGAACAGTCTGTGGTGGCAGCCCGTGAAGAGGGTGCATGAGGCAACTTGCTTGGGTGCTACATGTAAGGCTAGCATGGGAATTTCATATAGACAAATTTGTCTATACCTGACAAAGCAACTTGTAAAAGTGATTGTCTCTCATAAATGGCTTAGGAGAGCTGTGGCATGTGCAGTCTCTTCTGATGGTAGCAGTATAGACAATATCTGTACGAAGTATTGTCATCTTTGTCGGTGTCTCTGAGCTTTGTTAAATGCTGCTGCCAAAAAAAATGGTTATTTACTGATTATTTAACCCCCGTGTAGTGTACACCGGGCATCAGCCATCCCATGCAGCCCACGCTGTGTACAGTTACTTCCAGAGTCCACTCTCCTTGCATAGGTCATTTGTCTGCTTGAAGTTTGTTTAAAAAATCAAAATGTGTGGTATCAAAGGGTAAGGCTTTATCAGATTTTTTTTGACGCTTGATGGTCTAGAAGGGTAACGTTTTTAGAAGGTCTTTTTTCTCCCTTCGGTGGTGCTTTTCTCCATTTGCCTCAGTGATATTGCTTTCCTTCCCCATTTGTGCTGAGTGGTAGTGTGCTATCTCAAGATGTATTTTCTCCTGTCATGGGCACATGTTTGATTTCTGGGCAAGTGCTAAGATGCAAAGTCTCATGGTTAGACCTGCTTCTCTTTGTTATTGGATCATGTACCAAATATTCCATTGAGGTTCTTTCATTTACCTTCCCCAGTCCTTGCCAAGGGGCAGCTGACTCTGAGGAATGGGGCAGTAAACTAGAAAGGTCTCCAGGGGAAAAGCCTGGAGCAACTCCTTTTTGGAATAAGCATTTAAGGCTACCCATTTTCCCAGGTTCTCAGCATCTCTAGCCTAGATACAGAACCTCCTCCAAGTGGGCTCACTAAAATGTGACTTGCAGTGTCCCTGGAGCTTGGTGCCTGAGGTGTGGTACAGAAACCTGGTGCCTTTTCCTTTGGATCAGCAAGGGGTGCTGCAGGCACTGGAGCCTTAAAGCCTATTTTGAAAGCTCCTTCTGGTTCCATGACATGATTTTTGTGGACTGGTCTGAACTCATCTGCAGGGTGGTTCTGGACTTCTTATCTTGAAGGCATGGAGACCAGCTCCGGACGAGCTGCTGTGACATAAACATTGCTCAGAGTTCCCCCAAGTACACGGGCCCTACTGCTGCTCCCCGGTCTGTCCCCTGGGGTTTTTATAGTCCATCGAGATCAAAGGACCTTTTCCCCGTCACAACCAGCATTGCCCTGTGTGTGCTGTGGGGAGAGGGAGAGGGAGTGCCTATACATGCTGCAGGTAGTGTGTAGGAAAAGGCTCAGAGCTGAAGTGCTTGCAATGCATAAGGATGGCTGCATATGGACAACACATTTCAAAAAAAAAAATCAAAAAACAAAAAAATCACTATTAATTGCTGGTAAGTTATTTCCAGCACTTCCAGTATTTTATTTCCTTTTTTTTTTTTTTGGAGAGGATACTGGGCATCTGGAAAAGTGACCAATTACTACAAAAACCTTGGAAAAGCCTTATTCCTTATGCCTTCCATACTTGCCAGGAGGTTCTACCACATGGGGGAAAGCTTCATGTTATGCATCCTAGGCCCGGCTAACAGATTTTGTGGACATCCTTTCCACTTAGGAAGTTGGATACTTGCCCTACAGGTCTATCCCTTCAGGCACCTTTGAATACTCAAAGTTGTATCAGAATCTTGAGACTTGTGCCGCAAGTGGGCATTTCACTTCATCCACCCTTGCCAAGTCCGTATTGATGTTGGGCATTTAGAGTTGGAAGGTTCTTAGATGGTGAGTGGAAATGAAGAGAGCAAACATTCAGATGACTCCAGGAGTCATTTATCATTTGCTTTCAGCATAAAAAAAAGGTAGACATTTTCTACCTCCTATGTTTGAGGTCATTATAGATGCTCCTTTACCAAGTGGCACTGCCATGTGATCGTTATCTTGGGGTGAAAATCTACAAACAAGTAGTTACTTACGGAGAAGTGTGCAGTCCTGTAGGGGCCAGGGCTGCTGCCTCCACCCTTTGGTTCTTCGTGGCATGTTCCTGCCTGCTCCTATGTCTCAAACTGGAACTCATGGTGAGTCACTTCAGGGAGCTTAAATGGCCAAAAGTTAAATGTGGAGAGATTGCACTTCAGCTGCCTGAACCAAGTAAGTGTGTGATCATGGAGGCATGGATGAGAGTGCTAGGGAAGGAAATCATACGGTAAAAAGCAGGACTGCAGGAGCCTCGGACTTGGTTAGATTAAGCTTCTACACAACTGCATTGTGAAGGTGGTGAATCAGCTCTTCTCTTAGCTTTCTGCCACCAAAAGGGTTGGTGCTCATGCCTCACTGGCTCCAGGCTGTGTCCTTCTGCTTGTGTTGGCTCTCATGCCTTTCTCATCCTCTGATGAGCTGGTTGTCACTAAGGCAGCAGAAAACGATTTCAGAGGAAAAAAGTGACCAGTTGTCTGTTACTTTGATGAGCAGGGTCAGTTCATTAGGATTTTGAGGATACCAGAGCCAGACTGAGGAAGGGATATATCCACGTGGCTGGAACTGTCCCTGTGTCCCTGACAACTCTTGAAATCTTGCCTTTAGACTGTAGCAGATGTATCTGGATGACTTGCACCGGCTTGTTGTACATCAAAAAAAAAAAAAAAAAAAAAAAAAAAAAAAGAGCAAGTAAGCTCTACTTTATCCAAGAAATCATTTAATCATTTTCTCTTCCTGGTCATCCAGAGCATCGTTTTGTCTACCTTCATCTTCTAAGTGTC